GAGAGAGAGAGAGATTCAGCACAGCAATGGAACGGGGGTAGGGCTCTGCATGCAACCCCGGGTGGCGTGAGGGAGTAGAGGTTCCGCAGGGAGAAGTGAGATCCACAGAAGCATGCAGTAGCTTGAGCGAGAGATGACAAACTCCAGTGCTTTCACCTTGTTGTTCCAACAGGTGGCGGTGATGATGTGTCAGCAATGAATCTGGCAATGCTGCGACGGCTCACTTAACTGATATGGCAGCTTACCCAGAGGAAGTCAAATCCACCTGACCCAGGATTTGGATTCATATGAAGACTTCTGGCAGCTTACCCAGAGGAACTTAGGAGGTTAAAATCTGAGCTCAGGGCAATTGTTCAAGGTTGCAATAAAGAGTTCTCGAGGGGTTGAACACACTAGGAGCAAAATTATGGCATCCTGTTAAACGAACCACTGCTCATTAGATTCACTAGTTTTTTCTTTTCATTTCAAACTTCTTCAGTAAACAATAGCACAGCAGAAAAAAAAAAATCATAACTGGCCTCGCATAACTATTCTTTATACCAGCATTGGCTCAATCTGATGTTAAGTGCTATAAGACTCATGCAAGAGAAAAAAAGACTTGTGTGTCAACAAAAGATTACCACAATTTTCTCCGGATTGTCTAGATTGATATTCGGATGGATCCAACCAGTTCTTATAGCCTGCATAGAAACAAAGGATACATGATGAAGAATACAATCATGAAGTATGATATTAACATTTGCATGATTACACAGGGACGCCCGCGAACAGAAATGGAGTAGGCATCTTGATCAAAACGAGCCTCAAGTATGGAGTGGTAGACGTCAAGAGACATGGGGACCGGATTATACTGGTCCAAATGGTAGTTGGGGCCTTAGTTCTCAATGTTATCAGCGCGTATGCCCTGCAAGTAGGCCACAATGAGAACACCAAGAGGGAGTTCTGGGAAGGCCTGGATGACATGGTTAGGAGTGTACCGATTGGCGAGAAGCTCTTCATAGGAGACCTCAATGGCCACATGGGTACATCTAACACAAGTTTTGAAGGGGTGCATGGGGCTTTGGCTATGGCATCAGGAATCAAGAAGAAGATGTCTTAAGCTTTGCTCTAGCCTATGACATGATCGTAGCTAATACCCTCTTTAAAAAGAGAGAATCACATCTAGTGACTTTTAATAGTGGTCAACACTCTAGCCAGATTGATTTCATCCTCTCGAGAAGAGAAGACAAGCGTGCGTGCCTAGATTGTAAGGTGATACCTGGAAAGAGTGTTTTCCCTCAGCATAAGCTTGTGGTGGCTAACTCTCGCTTTCGGATTCGTGTCCAGCGGGATAAGCGTACCAAAGACGCTCGAACGAAGTGGTGGAAGCTCAAGGGGGAGGTAGCTCAGGCGTTCAAGGAGAGGGTCATTAAGGAGGGCCCTTGGGAGGAAGGAGGTGATGCAAACAATATGTGGACGAAGATAGCGACTTGCATTCATAAGGTGGGATCAGAGGAGTTTGGAGTGTACAGGGGAAGTAGAAGCGAAGTTAAAGATACCTGGTGGTGGAATAATGATGTCCAGAATGCTATTAGGGAGAAGAAAGATTGTTTGAGACGCCTGTACCTGGATAGGAGTGCAGACAACATAGAAAAGTACAAGATGGCAAAGAAGGCCACAAAACGAGTTGTGAGTGAAGCAAGGGGTCGGGCGTATGAGGACCTCTACAAGCGGTTAGACACGAAGGAAGGCGAAAGGGACATCTATAATGTCGGTGTATTGAACATAGGTGTTCATACCCTTGACTACGCACAGACAGTTGTAGCCTCCTTGCCGAGAAGGGCTTGACGAAAGATAGTTCCATCACAAAGCACTCAAGACATGGTAGATAAAACCATGGAGAAGACCTTGAGGTAGGTCATCAAGAAGTACTAAAGGAAGTACTGAAGATCAAGACTCGGGCTGCCAAGAAGCAACCTTTACGACAAGGCATTCTCCACATCGCCGGCAAGCTCCGCACCATCAAGCCCAAACCTCTTCCACCGCTCTACCGCACCTACCTTTCAAGATCTTGCCGACAGGTGGCGAGCGACCAGGCGGTTAGGTGAAGCTTGTCGGGGCACGTGTCGATCCACCGTCTGAAGATCAACTTTATTGACACCCGTCCAAAGGGCATGTCGCGGTAATAAAAGGTAGATGGGCTGACGATACAGGTGGAGTGGCACTCCCTTGCCAATATTTGTCCCAGCATGACACATCACGGCACATTTAATGCGTTTGTCCTACAGCGTCAGTGTTAGGTATGATAGCACTGTAGCCACTATTTACCCTCTGTAATTACTATTTTGCCATTGTGGTGACCCCTTTCATCTATAAAAGCAAGGCCATGGCAACCTTTACAAAGGTCGAAACCCTGCCCATTTGCAGTAGCTTAGCAGCACCTCCCGAGCTCCTTGCCATCAAGGTCGCGCTCTCTGTAATCACAGGGCTCATATGCACATAATCCACTAAGCATGGTTTTAACTTCACAGTGGCCCAAAGCTGGGTAAACGCTCGAGTGCTTTCATGGTTGTTACTGCTCTTTGTGTGTTGTGAGCCCTCACCGAACATAAGGGGCTCTCTGGTCCCATAGATTGTCGTACGCCAACATATAAGATGGCCAAGATTTGAGAGAGGAAGACAAGGGATGTTGACCAACTCAAATGCATCAAGGACAGAGTAGACCAACTCCTGGTGAAGGGCGAGGATATTAAGCATAGATGGCAGGAGTACTTCGTCAAGCTGTTCAATGGGAGAATGAGAGCTCTACCATTGAACTGGACGACTCCTCTAATGATACTAGCCATAGTTAAAAAAGGCGCGCCTAAGCGAGCGCTTAAGCGCGCCCAGGCTCTAGGCGTTGGCAAAACGCATTGCGCATAACTACACTTAATCTGCGCATAAGCATGCGCTTTGGTCTGTAAAGTGCAAGGCGGTGGCAAAACGCACAATTAACGCCTAGCGCTTTTTTGAACTATGTAACCAGTAGGCGTGTTGTGCGGCGAATCCATGAGTCTAAGGTCAAGGAGGCCTTAAAAAGGATGAAAGGACGCAAGGCGATGGGCCCTGGTTGTATCCCCATTGAGGTGTGGAGAGGCCTCGGAGACATAGCTATAGTATGGCTAACTAAGCTTTAAAACCTCATTTTTTGGGCAAAAAGATGCCAGAAGAATGGAACGGAGTATATTAGTACCAATCTTCAAGAAGGGGATATTCAGAGTTGTACTCCTTCCGTCCCAAAACAAGTGTCTCAACTTTGTACTAACTACTAATTACCGTGGAATTCAGCTGATGAGCCATACAATGAAGCTATGAGAGAGTCATTGAGCACCCCACATAAGAAGAATGACAAGTGTGACAAAAAATCAGTTTGGTTTCATGCCTGGGAGGTCTACCATGGAAGGCATTATCTTGGTACGACAACTCATGGAGAGATATAAGGAGCAAAAGAAGGACCTGCATATGGTGTTCATTGACTTGGAGAAGGCTACAACAAGATACTGCGGAATGTCATGTGGCAGGCCTTGGAGAAACACAAAGTCCCAGCAAAGTACATTACCCTCATCAAGGACATGTACGATAATGTTGTGACAAGTGTTCGAACAACTGATCGTGACACTGATGACTTCCCGATTAAAATAGGACTGCACCAGGGGTTAGCTTTGAGCCCTTATCTTTTTTGCTTTGGTGATGGATGAGGTCACAAGGAATATACAAGGAGATATCCCATGGTGTATGCTCTTTGCGGATGATGTGGTGCTAGTCGATGATAGTCGGACAGGGGTCAGTGGGAAGTTAGAGCTATGGAGACAAAACTTGAAATCGAAAGGTTTTAGACTTAGTAGAACAAAAACCGAGTACATGAGATGCCGTTTCAGTACTACTAGGCACGAGGAGGAGGAGGTTAGCCTTGATGGGTGGGTGGTGCTTTAGAAGGACACCTTTCATTATTTGAGGTCAATGTTGTAGAAGGATGGGGATATCAATGAAGATGTGAACCATCGAATCAAAGTCGGATGGATGAAGTGGCGCCAAAGCTTCTGGCATTCTCTGTGACAAAGAGAGTGCCACAAAAGCTAAAAGGCAGGTTCTATAGGACAACGGTTCGACCCGCAATGTTGTATGGCACTGAGTGCTAGCCGACTAAAAAGCGACATGTTCAACAGTTAGGTGCGGCGGAGATGTGCATGTTGAGATGGATGTGTGGCCACACAAGGACCGAGTCTGGAATAATGATATACGAGGGGTAGCACCGATTGAAGAGAAGCTTGTCCAACATCATCTAAGATGGTTTGGGCATATTCAAGGCCTCCAGAAGCGCCAGTGCATAGTGGACGGCTAAAGCATTCTGATAATGTCAAGAGAGGCCGGGTAGACCGAACTTAACATGGGAGTCCATAATCAGGGCCGGTCCTGAGATTTCAAGGGCCCGAAGCAGAACTAAACCTAAGGGCCCTTAACATAAACATAATTAAGTATTGCAAAAAAATATTTTGAATCAGAAATACTACAATATTTTTCTCTTATAAGTCTCTTCTTTACTTATATGTGCATTAGCTTTATTATTAAGTTTATCCTAATTTCTTATCCTAATTAGCTATAGTAAAAATTGGTACCTGGTCAAGACTAATGGATGATTTAAGTGGAGAATGACATTTTGGATATCGGCCTCTTTTAAAAAAAGTCAAAATTCAAAAATTTGGCTTTTAAAAAATCTGAAATTTTTTGTACAAGTAAACAAGGATGTGAGGCGTATGTATGTAAAATTTCAGGATGAAATACGTTGAAATGTGACCTGTACAAAAAAGACAAATTCATGGTCTTGGAGGATGAACAGTATCATGTGCTAAAAAGCCTCAGATTTGTCTTTTGCACAACCCTCATTTGAACGTATTTCGTCCTGAAAATTTACCCACTTGTGCATTATGCCTTCATCTGTCTCTGTATTTTTTCCAAATTTTTTTACATGTAAAAATATGATTTTTCATGAATTCTGAATTTTGCATTTGGAGGCCTCCATGGAGCTCGGCCTCCAAAAGCAATTTCCGAATTTAAATGCCATTCATCACCCACGTTGTCATCCATTTAGATGTTATATTGTATTATGTATTGCCCTTACCTTACGGATTAGTCTATTCCTCTCCATAGCAATTACCGGCAAGTCCCCAAATATAAAAATTAATAACCACAATGATCTATATCCATTAACAGTACTCATAAATCGATTATTAGTGTCCAATTGTAATGACACAGAGGCCATGCATGTCGATAATCATTCATACTTTTAATCAACCATCATGATAAAATTTCCTAGGCCAAAGACTACCTATACAAGTAGAGATTAGAGACATACCTTCTCTTCTGTAATTCTACTTGTGCCCTAACAATACAATCTAGCCTCCCGGCAAGTCAGTGTGGTCTCGTGCCAGACAGTGCGACAGGCTATCTCCGGCAATCCAGCCTTCCTCCGACTTCGATCTGCTCCGACCCGAGGCAGCACCATGCATGCATAGTAGATTGATATCTTTTTTTAACTCATAGTACATGGATAGCAAGCCTCACGATCTTGATCTATTGTCGCCCGTGTGTTGTGGTATTGTCGCTTCCCATTGTCCTGCTTTTCTCACAAAATTGGGCACACAACTTACAGCTTGCGGATTAATGAATGATTTTTTTTCAAGAAGACTAACTGACTAAGGAAATTAAGAGAGGATTTTTTTCATATAACTATGCCTAATTAATCGCATGCAATAAACGCTCTATTAATCAATCGAAAGGGCCCTCAATGATACTGGTAGCATGAAGGAAAGCAAGGAAATCAAGGAAAAGTTTGTAGGAGTAGGACACCCATTTTCTTGCGTTGGAGTATGTAACCCATTTTCTCGCGTTGGAGTATGTAAATACATCAGCAATCTAGACCAGGGCGCAGGCCAATTAAGACAAGATGACGGCAATAATGGAAACACATTGTTGGCAGAACAATGGTGTTGGATAGACCCAAATTATGATATACTGCAAGATCCCATTGTCACTATGTTGGATAAATAGCAAAAGCCGGGACTTGAACTCAAGACCTTAGGCCCTGATACCATGACAAGCTTCATGCACTAGCCAACGCAATCAAAAGTCCAAACTAATGGAAAGGGCTAGGCAATCCATATATACACTTCAAGACCCCCTCTCACGTGTGACGCGGGAAGTCAACACGTGAACTGACTCAGATGTATGGCTCAAGAGGCATATACTTGCTAGATAACCAACACATAGGGGGCAACAACCATTTTTGAATAAATTGCGTAAGCCAGGACTTGAACTCAAGACCTTAGGCCCTGATACCATGTTAAGCTTCATGCACTAGCCAATGCAACCAAAAAGTCTGAACTGGTGGAAAGGGCTAGGCAATCCACATATACACTTCAACACCCCTTCTCACGTGTGACCCGGGAAGTCAACATGTGAATAGACTCAGAGATATGGCTCAGGAGGCCTATAGATGGACAGGGGTAACAACAATTTTTGAATAAATTGCGAAAGCCAGGACTTGAACTCAAGACTTTAGGCCCTAATACCATGTTAAGCTTCATGCATTAGTCAACGCAACCAAAAAGTCTGAACTGGCGGAAAGGGCTAGGCAATCCACACATACACTTCAACACCCCCTCTCACGTTTGATGCGGGAAGTCAACACGTGAATAGACTAGGTATGGCTCAAGAGGCTTATACATGGACATAGAGGGGGGTAACAACAATTTTTGGATAAATTGCGAAGCCCAGACTTGAACTCAAGACCTTAGGCCTTGATACCATGTTAAGTTTCATGCACTAGCCAGTACAACCAAAATTCGAACTGATGGAAAGGGCTAGGCAATCCACATATACACTTCAACAACCGACATGCCTATTTACTACAAATAGTCCTCACGCAGCAATACTAGCTACAGCTTCAGAAAACCACTTTCCTGTGTTCAGCCCCAGCTCTATTCTTGCTCCTCTACTTCAGTCTATTTCTAACATACGCCAACTTATACTCGACCACCATGCCGGTCTGCTTCAGCTGCAAGATCTTGGACATTTGGTCATCAAACTCATCGCCACCGAACTCAGCAACAACCACCGCAATGGTCGTGTCCCAGTGGATGCGGCGATGCAGTCGTTTGTACAATTGCTGCCACAATGCCGCATCCCAATGATGCCCAGGAACGTTGTACATCTCAAAATAGTTATAGCAGGGATCAACCTAGAGAAGGGGAAACTCACCTTTGAAGGTGGGGAACCAGTGTTTGGGTGGCTTCAAACGAAACTGGCCATATGGAACAGAATCGGCAGCTGGCAGATCCAATAACCCCCCCCCCCCCCACGTGATCCCGCTCATCGGACAGAGCGTACTGCCGACGCTGGAGCAGGGGAGGACCGTTCTTGGCGAGCAATGGTGCCTTGTCGGTGTACGGCAGAAATCATGGGCATGGCAAAGTCACCACCGCAGGCGTCACTTGGGCCTGCTTGACGATGTCAGGGTCCTTGCCGGTCGTCCACCTGCTTCGTGATTTTCGTGAATCCCTGTCGTTGGAATCGACATTGGCAGAGATGGATTCCACTTCCTCGGTGACCACTTTCAACAAGGTGACCACACTTCCATCTTCTCCACAACAATTCGAGTTTGAGCGGACAGCTTGGAATTGTGTGCCAGCGCAGCTCCCTCCAAATCAGTCGAACGCCAACTTCAGTTTTACAGGAGATTAAGCCATAGAGCAATCTCTCAACCAGTTGGTCGCTGTTACCGGTCAATCGAGAGATTGTGGAGCACCGCTAGATCAAGACCTTACTATAAATACTAAATTGTGATGTCCCGAAGAACAACGAAATTGAGATGAGAGTTCAGGATGAGATTTCAGAACAATTATAATTCACTTTTCCGATCATTTGGAACAGGAGTTAGAGATGCCTTTTAATGGAATCTCATAATAGGCTTTAACATGGTCCCTGCTCACTCCAGCACACAGGCAACACATGCCACCTCAGCTCAATCTGTATGTGTCCTAGCTCGATAATTATCCACATCAAAATGGACCAATTCTTCAGTGTGTGGCTTCTGCATTGCTAAAGTCGTGACAGCTTAGCGGGAGTTATGCACAACGAGTTGAGTGCCTGGCAACACCATGACCATGATTGGAAGCAAAAAAATTAAGGGGGCAGGTACCACATGAGTGAGGAGAGAAAAAAACAGATATGGCACTTGATGAGTTTTGAGTTAGGCTGCAGGTGAGTGAGAAAGCCACCAGTGCCACTGTCGGGAGAAAGAGACCACCTGCCAGCATTCTAGCAGGCTTGCCAACATCCAAATCTTAGTTGCCTTCTCATCCTGCCGCCTCCGCAAAACTTTGAGATCAGCTCAGCTCAGGTTAGTTTCCTTCTCTCTCCTCCCTATGATTTGATCTGCTCTTGATCTCTTCTATATATTGCTGCCTCTTGCTCTGTTGCACCGTATTTTTGCATGTTTGCTTGTTTTGTGTTTTTCTCGGTAACCCCTCTTCTTAATATGTTGCTCCCTCTAGAGAAATTGCTTAATTTGGAATGATATTGTGCTGATATACCTCCTAATCTCCAGCCATGTACTACATAAATATTTATCTTTTCGTGACATATGAAGCATGCTTAATTATGATTGTTTGCACCTTCAAACTCTAGACTAGGCACCTAGGCATCCCTGCGTTTTGGGGTTGCCGCAACTCACTAAAACAACGTACCTTAACAGTCCACCAAATTAAACTCTAGGCTGTAGATTTCATTTACTGTCACTTGTTAATTTTGCATAACATGCTCATATGGATACACCAAATACAAAGCCGACACTGCTACTTTTCTCGCCTTATATACTACTCCTATTAAACTGATTGCTGGTAAAACATTGCAAAGTATACTAAATCTGGAATACATGGGTGCCCTATAAAAGGGACGGGAGAATTTAGATATATTCCACTTTTGAGAAATGCCACTACCAAACTTGATATTTAAATAAGCAATTATTACGTTACAGAAACTTGAAGGATGGCATCATGTTATGCTTCTTCCTTCCACATCCCCCATTTGTTCCCATTCCTCGCCACTTCCATTGCTTCCCATCCCAGCAACGGAGCTAGGGATAAGATCTCCAAGCTAAGAGTGGAAGTCCAATTCTCCACTCCACATTCATGGCCAAGCTTGGTGTTCCATGGCCTCCTCCACCTCCAGATATGTGCATCTTGTTGCTCACCAGCATCCACCATAAACCCTAACCTCTAGGACACGCTCCCATGGGAAGTCACGGTACTCGCCCTACGTGGAGAGGTCAATGTCACAAAGGCATCAGTGGGATGCAGGGAGGGCTCGGGCCATCGCAGCTGGTCACCAGCACAAGGCAAGGTAAGCTGGCGGGAGGTAGTGGGGCGGATTGGGGATGAGTGGAAAGGGGGGAGAATGAATAACAGAAGAGCTCTGTTTTCCAGTTCTTGACATAGTGGGATTCTTCAGAATTCAGTGACTGAACAATGGCATGCTAAAAAATTTAAGACTATGTAGTGGCATTTCTCGAACTGTCCACTTAGCAGTAGCATGTATTCCCCCTGAAAATAGAGAGAGTAGTAAGATATTCTGTTAATTTGAACATTTCTTACCCTTAACAAAGGATCTCTTAGGGGAAGACTCGTATTTACGGACTTGGGGTGAGATGACGCTGCTAGATTATAAAGGCTCCATGCATGGAGTTTTAAACATAGGTATTCATAAACCGCATGGGAGTTCAGAATTCAAGAAATCGCACAAAGGTAATATAGCCAGGAACCAAAATGACAGTTCATAAACAAAAGCATAAGATTAGCTAACAGGAAATATTATATTCAGATAAAAAAAGAAAACTGCAGTAAGACCTACTTGTATAACAGCTACAGCTTCTATTCCACCTGCAGCACCTAGCAAGTGGCCAGTCATCGACTTTGTTGAGTTTACTCTTAGCTGCAATGCATAAAATGCATATCATTCCTGAGTTTAATTTACACGCCAAAGAAGAGAGAGAAGATTGTTTCTGAATCAGGAGGTATGCCTGAGGATTCTGCCCAAAACAGCGGCAAAGAGCTTGGAATTCCTTCAAATCACCCAACTGTGTAGATGTAGCATGGGCATTTACATAGTTAATGTCTTGCCTTGTTACTCCTGCATCAGCTAGTGCATTTTCAACACAAAGAATAACCCCCTTCCCTGATATTACATAAACATAATATTAGTACACAAATTGTTCTAATTTCAGTTGGGAAGTATCACAAAATAGATACACCACAAGGTTAAAGAATATTTTTCACCTTCAGGATGTGGTTCCGTCATATGATATGCATCACACGTAAAGCTTCCACCCAGAAATTCTGCATATATTTCTGCACCTCTTTGCTATAGAATGGAAATTCCATTCAGACATTTGAAAAGAAATCACCATGGAAGAACTACACAAATGGAGAAAAAAAGCACGAACAAAAAATATCTAAGGAATCTCATTAACACAACCTTTGCATGCTCAAGTTCTTCCAAAAGAAGCACACCAGCCCCTTCTCCCATGACAAACCCATCACGATCCTGTTGCAAAAAAAAATAGACAACACAAACTGTTAGAACAGTACATGTTCTGCTAATTTCAAGCATGCGACTAGTGCAGAATCATCACCGCCACGAAAATATGTGCACCAAGCCAGTAAACATGAAGTCAAATGTATCAGTGGTATAAACATGAAGCATAGACTGTACATTCATATGATTTGGCTACTAGGTAGTGGTTATGTTAAACAAATCTTGGAGGACTAACCATGTCCCAAGGCCGAGAAGCTTTTGTTGGATCACTATTTCTCTGTGAAAGAGCTCTACATGCCACAAAACCTCCCAATCCTGCATGTAACAGTAGAAATGATCACCATAATATTCATGCAAAGACAAGATGTTCAAGTAAAACAAAACAATAAGCCAATAACAATTGGGATGATGACATCTCAAATAATGAGTTTCCGTACCAATTGGTATAATTGGAGCATCAGAACCACCACACAGCATCAAATCCTGCATGTTTAGGACATGTCAACAAGTAGGGCATTCCTCACAGGATATCACGAAAAATCAAGTTACTTACAGTTTCCCCCCTCATGATATGATTGGCTGCACTCAGGATGCAGAAGTTACTAGTGGCACAAGCAGTAGAGATAGAGTAGTTTGGGCCCATCCAGCCCTGCATAGGCATACAACTTAAAATTAATAATCATTAACCACTGAGAAAATTAAAAAAACTAATAATCCAGATCATATAATGCACCAGATCCATCGCAAGTATTGCAGAACCCATGTTTGTAGTTGCAAAAGGTACACAAAATGGGTTCATCTTCCTGTAGGAGACCCTCAATGCTTCAATTGCATCACTAAAAACCTGCTTAAAATAGCATCATAAGCATTAGGCAAACAGTGTAATAAACACTGCCTTCTTTACAAGTAAATATATACACTGTGAGATCCGGACCTTCATGCCACCCATACCAGATCCAATTAGAACTCCACATCTCGATTTGTCCAACTCGTTCATGATATCTTCAGTGACTCCACCATTTTCCAATGCTTTCTTACCAGCAACTATCAAATATTGCATGAACTTATCCATTCGCTTAGCTAACTTTGGTGCAACCCAACCATCTGTTGAAAAGGATTTGATTTCTCCAGCAATTCTCTGTATGAAAGATAGCATGTCAAGCAGACTGCAAAGGATATTTCAGCTACATTGCAAAATAAACCCCACACTCAAGTTAGGTAGAATAAAATAATACCGTGGGATAGCTGGAACAGTCAAATGCTTCTATCTCACTTATTCCACTGAGACCCTGTAGAAGGTTGTTGTAAAACTCATCAGGCTCATGGCCTAACGGAGTCACGACACCCATGCCAGTGACAACTACCCTCCGTTGTTTGGTTTCAGATTTGTTGTTTTCCACAGCTCCTCTTTCAGGATGAAAGGAAACAGCAATGGGCACTCCTGCAGTCCATAAGGCATCTCATTTAGGTGATGGATAACTAATTTGATTCGGCATATGCTACAAATAAACTCACAAAAAAGAAAAGTAGCATCACTCGCAAAAAAGTGTTAATAAGTTATGTTTCTTTAATCAATCAAAACCGATGAACAATATTGGAAGGTTTATTCGCATGAAATGAAACAAATGGCCATGGAAGTTGCACATTAGCGATAATTCCAATCATATGTTTTCCCCAAAAACACCAGTTTTTAATAGTACAATCTTCAACGCCGAATTCCCATATTGCCACTTAGTTTCCTCGTGTATAAATCAATTCTGATAAAAATCCCACGTTTATGATAAAGTATACTTTTATTTTAATGACGGACTCATGGTGAAGTCACTTATTCACTCGAGCATGCATCACACATATAAGAACAAGATTTACACATACAGAATTATGCACAAGGCAGTGAATAATAGTCTCTCGCCTGAAACCCCAAATACACACGAGCCATTTGACAACTGAAACTCTATAAATCCCGGACGTTTACCCCGGACCGAACACCCTGTGATACGACCTACATGGTTACAGGCTTACAGCCGACCGCAATTTTACAGTTGACATTCGGATAAGGACCAAGAAACCATGAAAGGGCGGAGAAGGCAACGGAAATGGCCTCACCAGAGCGTGTCCCGCCTCGGCGGCGCGCAGCAGGGTGGCGGCGCGTGCCGAAAAGCCCGCCGCCGATGTAGTTGCGCTGCTTCCTTTCATCGTCTGCGACGCAGGTTGCAGACAAGCAGGCGGCGACGATCCAAGTGCGCAGCGGTGGCGCCACTGCCGACATTGCGCACGAACTGGATCCTGACGACGCGAAGGTGATGCGAATCACCTGGATTCGCGGGAGGGGAAGGGCAGGGGCATCCACTAGCCACGAAACGGCAGAGGCAAGGACCGGAACGGGGGTCTGTGTCCGCGAGAGATGCGGGCAGTTCGGGCGCAAGCGAGCGAACGCGCGCGGGGTAGGTAGGGATTTGCGGGAGTTGGATAGAAGGAAAGCGGCGGCGGCGGTGGTCTTTAATAAGGACGGAGAGGGCTTAGGCGCATCTGAGAGGTGGCGGACGGGGAGGAAGCCGCCATTGCCAGGTGCTCGACGAAAGGTGCGCTGGGAACGGAGTTGTAGGAGCTGAGCCGCTCAAGCCAAACACTAGTGTATTGAGGGATCTCCCGGACATATCAACATGGCAAAAAACACCTATTGTTTGAGAAAAAAATACACATCTACTATCTACTACCCCTATAAAAAAAAGAGAGGATGGAGAACCAAATCATCTCACCTATCCATGAGCAAAATCCAATGGCCCTTAATCCTTCGGTGTTTAACACTGCAAACACGCATCAAGCCAACAATCCATCCATCGCTAACCCAGCCCCTGCCGCCGTTAAGAAAAAAACGCCCGCACGACCCCTCTCCCACACGACCTCTTGCCCCGACCTTTCTCCCGCACGACCTCTCGCCCCCGACCTGTCGCCCCCTCCTCCTCCCGCGCCATTCGCCGCCCCGCCCCGCCCCGCGCCGTTCGCCGCCGGAGCCGCTCCGTCCCGTGCCCTTCGTCGAGCCACTGCAGGTCGCGCCAGAGCCACCCGCAGCTTGAGCCGCCGCCGGTCGCGCGCCGAAGCCGCCCGGAGCTGGAGCCGCCGCAGGTCGCATCGGAGCCGCTTCACCAACGCTCGCGGCCGCTTCACCGGGCAACAACGTCGCCCACCCATCCCCGTGTGTGCGACGGCTGAAATTTCCGATCTGCGACGGCGCTGCCTCAAGATGGAGTAGGCATTATTGCCTAGGCCGATCAACCACGGTGGGCATGCTGCTCAGTGGATAAAAGTAGTCATCGCGGCCTCTGCTTCCCGGCCAAGGAAGTGAAAGGAGGAACTGCAGCTCATCTCTGTCTCCGCTCCAGGTCGCCTCCATGTGGGTTGTTGTGGTTGTAAGCAGATTACTCTTTCTTGACGACCCCATCTCCTCGAATACAACGACAATGATGATTGATGCCTCTGTCAGATCAATCTCTATTTTTGTAGGAATGTGCTTGGTATTTCTGCAACATTTTTTTATTGTGGGTGTTTCTGCAACATTATGAAAAATACTATCAGTTTGTATAATTTTTGTCAGTGCTTGACAGGTGCTTGTGGAAATGCCTTAACGTTCTCACGATTTTGATACAGGGGATGATGAAGCACATCAAGGAATAAGAGGCATATGAGGTTCTGATGTAGCCGGGTTCGCCGTTACTGCCGAATGGGTACGTCGGATAAGTTCTCCTTCACATACGATCTATCGTCTCAACAATTTTATTGCAATTTAAATCAGACTCTTGCAACAGAAAATAGGATCCCTTATTTTGGTTGTTTAATCAAGTCAACTAATTGAATGGTTCGAAACAGCATAACTTTAAGTTATTAACATGTCAGCATGCTAGGGTATTTTCCATGCAAGAAAGAAGCAAGAAAGGGGATATGCCTTAGTGTGGTTTTTGATACTTGCAGGTTGCAACCTGCCAAAACACTGATGATATATCCAGAGGCAGAATTTTGGATTCATTTCATTTTCTCATTTATGACTTCCTGGTCAAATGGTTTTCTTCTTATTGGATTTGAATCTAATAGAGTTATATCACATATCTAAAACTCTTGCTAAAGCATGTCTATTTGATTTCTTCCCACTAATTTGTTTGGTTCCCAATTTATGCAGACATGTGCAGATGTTTTTGCGGTAAACCATGCATGCCTGTGGTTCGTATGTTACGAACTAATAAATGCATCAATTCATGCTATATTAAGTGGGCTCTTTTTGAATATAGTGCAACTGTAGTGAGATGCATAACTAAGGAATCATGACTTAAAATGGACATAAAATAGTGTTTTTTGTATTTTGTTTGCTTGAACTGCTTTCATGCCGTTGATGGAAGTTTGGATATTTAGATATATGTTATCTAGGTAGTCCAAACAAGTTGAGTCTGAATACTTATATAAGCCTTTTTTAACTTAACTTGTACAAGCATCAGGTCCATAGGATATTTTGAGTCTCTTCTCAAACAAATATTACCTGACAATAATTTAATATTGTTGCTGTACCAATCTTAGTATGAGGTGATATATGTGGGTTGTCTTAGGTTTATATATTGCATCAATTGTCCGCCCTAATTTTGTTGTTATTATTTCGTACTTCTACTTTGCTACAAGCTACTCAATAAAATTCTTATATTCCCTATTGGAACCAGAAAAGGTAAGAGATGATGTGCCTTATGGGCACCTTGGAGTAATTAGTAAGATACTCTCTCCTTCCCAAAATGTAAGGCGCGATTGACTTTTTATGGTCTTTGATGCATGACTTTGACCACTAATATATATCAAAGTATAAAGATTGAACATGTATAAATGGCATTGTCGTATTTGTCTTGCAAAACAATATTATTTCATATGTATGTATACTAATTTTATAGACATATAATACATAAAAATCATAGTCAAAGTTGTGCAACGAAGACCGAAAAAGTCAAACCGCGCCTTATATTTTGGGAAGGAGGGAGTACCATTTATTGGGCACTTGACATCTCTGTTCATATTCATGTTTGTTGCTGACATATTGTACTGGTGATGGTTAATGTTTCATGTTCCACACTGTTTCTTCTTTTTAAAAATCCAGCGCAACCTTTTATATCATACACCGCCTTTCAAATTTCACTATTTTTTACAGAAGCTACTTCCTATCTCACAATGAGGTTCGATCTAATTTAATTGCCCTGATTCATTTATGTATTTTGTTGAGGTTTCATCTCTTTGAGCGGAGCCCATATCTGACATTTTTTGACTGCTAATATATCTGACAGCAGTTTATAACTTCATTCTGAATCAGTAACTCAAAAGTTAAAATGCAAACCAATATATTATAATACTGTCTTTGTTGTGTTGCCGAAGTAACCATGTCCAACATAGAACCTCACCTAATTAATTCCTACCTCAGAGCATTGGCTGATTTCATTCCTTGTTTTTATGCCGCTTCAGACATATCCATTTGAGCTTCCATGTTTGCAGGCTTGATTGTTTCCTTCCCTTCGTTTCATTTAGTCAATGCATGGTTAAGAAAAACCTGATTTTTGATTTTCCATACCGTTGATGCATGATTTAGAAAGATACTGAAACTCAGCCAAAAAAGAGTGATGGTTCCCCTCTCATGTTTCTAAGAGGTAAAGCAAGCTACATGGATTAGTTTGTTGGTAATATCAGCCTAATTTAGCGATGACGTGATTCTTAGCTTGAAAATATTACTTTCATAATGCACTTGTGGTTCAAACTGCATAATGAAAATAAGACATTTTTCATTCAGAAGTGCTCTATGGACTTGATGCATTTTCTTAGATATGGAATAAATTTTGGGTTGATTCCATAGTTAGAGGGTGATTTTTCAGAGATCATATTTTATTTCGTAACGTAAAATAAATTTGAGTGCATGAGGAATCCCATTTTTAACCATGTAATAGTTAGAAATACATCTATTTGGAATAGATAAATATGTGGATGGATTGTGAACCACTAGAAATTATGGTAGAAGCACAATTCATTCACTCTAAGAAAGTGAATTGTTCTCATGCTCTTGTTGGATTTGATTGGAAGTGTGGATGGGTTGGTGATGTAGAAACTTGTCTTGCTACAATATCATGAAACTTACTAATACCTATGTCCTACAATATAAGATGTTATTACAACCGATATACTCGCATATTGAATGTAATAACATTCAAACGGAGGGAGTACTTACGATGTTCTTCTTACAATCTTATATGTTTGTTAATGTTTTTTTTGTAGATTTACGTCTCCCATTTTTCTAGGATGTGCCATGCTTCCACATGTTGAGATCTTTTCATTTTTCGTCCACTTATATTATTTTCTCCTAGCTTAAGGATCTAGGCTATCCATGAGTTATTGGACATGATACAGTCTCACTATGAGAAGCTTCTTGATCCACGATGCTTGTTAGTGTGAGATTGATTGTTTGCTCCATTTATTAATTCCTTGTGATTTATGTTCTCACTAAAGTTGCACAGGCTCGCTAAATGTCGTATTTCCTAATGATACTGTAAAAAGATATATCGATTCTTTTCCTTTGTGTTTATCATTAAGTGGCTTGTAATGTGTTTATATTTATATTAGTCAAGACACCCATTGCATGCCTAATTTTATTATCTTGGTAATTAATTGATGACAGTCTATACGTGCACTTGCACGTGCAAGCTTACTAGTGGGTTTATAAATGGAAAAAGATTATGCCCATGAGGTAAGCTGGATACGGGTATCATGTGTCATCCCTAAAGAAAAAAAACTAGCCGGTTTGCCCTAGGCTAACGCAGCTGCTAGTGCGTTGATCTTGTCTTGTGAACTTATGATTTTTGTCTCTGATTTTGTTGATCTTATTATATAGTCTCTTTCATTTGATCATTTCAAAGTAGGAGTTGCATAAGTGTCTTCAATAAAAATAGAGAAAATTGTGTCCCTTTTATTTGTCTTGCTACATGCTACTTATTTAGATACATTATAACTCAGCATGCTAGGAAGCCTCTTAGGCTATCAACAATTTTGGTCACTAGTGGTTGGGGCGCCACCCGGTGGCATCGCCTGAGACAAAGCTGGGCGGTGCCAGGTAGGAGGCGCCCCTTTCACGTTGTTGGGTGTAGTTCACAATGTTATTACATGGTCAGCAATAAGAGAACGGTGGAAATGCAACACACTCATACCATGAATCAGCCTTAGGAGTCATAGATATTAATATGTCATTGTAGTTTACACGAA